CTGCAGCCGCGGTGGGTGGCAGAAATCTTTAAAAACGGCTCTTAAGCAGTTTAGTTTTCCCCTCTGTGGCAGTGAAAAGCAATTTGTAGAAAATAGGTTTTGTCTTCTGTTTGACAAATAGCTCTTGTACATCTATACGTTCACCACATGTATTTATTTATATTGGGATCGGCTCTGCTAACGTGTCATTAGCGCCTCATTTCTGCAGCCGAAAGTGGCGTTCCCGTAAACCTGCCCGGCCGCCTCATTAACACGCCGAGCGTCCACATCACAGCCCGTCAGCTCTGACCTCTTGTGATGTGGGGGGAGCTGAACACGGCATGTAAAATCGGGGTAAATCCCTCGGGGCCAGACGCGGCTGATTGGATAATATTATAATAACACAGCAGACTGAGGAGCACCGCAGGCAGACTGATCCCGGCCCGGCCTCCGCCGTGGTTTGGTCTCCACTCAGATCCAAACACTCCGCTGGTTTTTGGGGCTTTTCCCGAAGGAGGAGTGACGCAGGAATCCTCCAGTGTGTCAGCGAGCAGCAGAGAGAGTCTCAGATCGTCTGAATGTCACAGAGCCAAAGTTAGAAACAGGTTTCTATAGTCAGAGCCGCTCAGTGTGTGTCAGAGTGCTGGAGTTATTTCCAGAGTTTCCAAACATTTAAAGGTTAGAAGTTTCTAAATCCAGACAGAAAGAGCTAAAGAAAAACTGCTGAAGTTTGCAGTTTAAGAGGATGAATCACAAAACCTACTTCTTATGCTATTGTTTTAGTATTTAATGGTATTTAAGGGCATGTAAACGCTGATTTAAATTGAATTGTGTAACTTTGTTGATGTGAATCATGAGCGGTGAAGATATTTAGAGGGCAAAACCGACCAAATTCAACCAATAAAGCAAAGTGGTTCATGAAGAAAAAGTCAATTTTCGCCAATTTTATGTAGTAAACAAACATCCTATTGAGCAATTTTTTTGGTCTAAAAGAGGTCTAAGAGACGTCTAAATATAGCGTAGATGACTGGTCCAAAAAAGGTCAATTTTTAGATGTCTAAATTTAGACCAAGTTTAGACCAAGTCTAAATTTGGGCTATATCTATACTACACTGTATGTTGCTCAACGGCTATCATAATTATTTTGGTTAAGTTCTTGGAGATCAGTTATGCAACTCACAATTGCTTTTTGAAATAAATAGTTATCAAACAAAGAGCAATGTCTAAATTCCATCTAAACATATACAGAATCTAGACGGTTGAAATTAGGTCTAAAAAAAACCAGATGTCTAATAGCCATCTATCGCTCAGCGGGCAAGGACTAAAATGACATTCAAGATTTATCAAGCGAAACACTTGAGGGGTAAAACTTGAAAACTTACCGACAGAAAGAGTCAAAAAATGTCCAAAATAGAACAAAAATGTGACGTAAAAGAAAGTGAGAAATCTACTCAATGAATCCAGCAGCTGCTGGAGAGAGGAACTACAGTGACACTGAGCAATGACAATGATGAAAACACAGGTGTGACAAGGAGACACAGGTGAAGCAGATGGAGGGAAGACACAGGAAGTAATCAGACTCGACACACTGAGGATTATAAAGGTCACCTAACTTCTTCATTTGGCGTGACGAGACTCAGTGTCTTTATTTCAGCGGGGGCTCCTTCAGGTTGAGGGTGAGGGCGAACAGATGGAGATTCAGCAGCTACATCTATAAGCAACCTGCGTAGATTGGCAATGAAGATTCCAATCAGACGGGAAGGTGCAGCCTAGCAACAGGCCGTGTGATTGTTGAATTAAGAGTCACTCACACCTGCTTTAAAACCTGTTTCTTGAATCTTGACGTACGGTTTTCTCTTTTAGCACGTGTTTGACCTCGTCCTGAGCTTTACAGTGAAATCAGGGGATCATAGCTGGTTTATTTTGTAAGTTTTTGTCCCTGACATTTCCACCAGAGCAGACGACATCGAGTGGGTTTAAACATGTATGTTTCATGGACAGGAGTCAGGAATGTGGCTGCAGTATTTTCCTTAAAGTGAGGGTCTCAATGAGGCATGAAGCTCCAGACTAAGAAACAAACCAGGGCTTTACACCCTCAGTGTTACTTAAAGCAGAATAAATACATGGACACATTATTCACATGTAAAGAACTCAGCGTTTTTATACCCGTCCTGTACGTGGATGGATCCATACTGTGTCTGTGCGGTGAGATGAAACCCACAGCGTGAGTAAAAAGCTCCCTGATGGGTGACAAGGCCGACATTGTGAGGGTGAGCTCATGCTTGTTCAGCGCCCAGACAAACAGCCCCCCTGCTACGACTCATTTACTCGACCACAAGTTAGTCTTCAGATGATTTTCTCTGTAATGATCGATGAAAGGTCATAAATAGGCTGAGAGACGCCTGTTTCTGCAGCCCACCTGAGTACTTACATTTGTGATTGAGTGTGGCAGCTCTTGGCCCCGCACACTGTTGTGTATTGTTAAAATACACTCAGTGTGTTACGTAACGGTGGCAGGTCTCTGGAGATATCATATGAATGGAAACAACTTCATTCTGCTGAACAGGGGACAAACTCTGGTTCGTGTTCCCCCTCTGACCTGGTTTGAAACGCAGGTGATGATGTTTCAAGCATCTGCAAAATCTGCAGTTCCTATAGTGCCCACTGGAGGCTGTTTTCAAAAGTGAGTCAGTTCCCATAGAGACACTCGAAAAAGGTGCTTTGTCTGCAGATGCACCTGGCTCTTAAAGAGAATGACAGCAGACACTCTGATTGGCTCATGTCACACCCCAAACACATCTTTAAATAACCAAAGGACTTAAATGGGGTGACCATAACTGGCATTTTCCACCGCATCCGGAACGGCTACAAAAATGCTACGAAAAGGCTGTATCCGCTGATCGTAGCTGATCGCAACCATTCAAATTAATGTGTCAATTCTTCCACCGGCTTATTTCCATTCCGTTGTGGATCACCGGACTCCGCAGCTGATCGCAAGAGCTCTATTTTACAGACACTGGAGCATGCCGGATAAATTCAGCACAGATTATTCCGTGCTGGAGAGGAAGTCGGGCACAGACATAAAATAAAACATATGGCTTCTTTTCAAAATAAAACACTCCGTGTTTCAGGCGGATCATATTTCACACCATGCAAACTGGCGGAGACGAACAAGTGAAAGGTTTTCAGACATTTCACCCCAATGACACCATGGATGAGGAGATGCTGATTTTAGAAGTCTAGAAGTAGATTTCCTCCTCTGGAAGGACACAATCTACTGCTTATATGGTTAGCCTATGTGGCTAGAGACAACTTGTTATCGCGCGATTTGCACGTGAATCTGCGGGTTCTTGTGAGTTCTTGCAATACCTGTTGTCTGTAATCCACCACGAAATTCCTCACAAACGGATCCAGTAGGAATTGGTGTACAGCGAAAATTGGAGCCGTTTTGGATGCGGTGGAAATCCTGGGTAAGTCCTCTTTTACCCGGACATGTCCTCTTTTTTTGGGGCTGTCCAGCCTGGTCAGTGGAAGTTTATAAAATCCTTTAAATGTCCAGGGTTTTGAACGTAAGTTTCAAGTTTGTGTCACGTGGACTTACTGAGTTAGAAACGCATAAAAGACCCTCGATCTGACCTGAAAAACTCTCAAAATTCACTTTGTGCTACTCCGTGACTCCACCCCCATGTAGTTGTGTCCTCTTTGGTCACCCTATCTTAAAGTTGTTTCATGACAAATGTATACTGAATAATTCCTATGCTAAGCTGTGTTACTCAGGGTATAGTCTCTTTAAGCGACAGGTGGGAGCTGTAGGTTGTCATCAGCCAATGAAAACGCAGTATCTGATCCTCTTAGATCAGCATTTTTCAAAATAAGGCGCCACAGGAAGATTAAAAGTAATTTAAATTGTCTTGTTTCAAATGTTTGGTACCGCTGTGCGATAAAATTAGCAGAAAATAACCTGAAGTTTGAGAATTTCATCTCCATGTCCTCCGTTTTCTTAGAAGCTCAGTGCAAACTAATAAAGTAAGTAGTTGATTTAATGTACTTGTTTCTTTCCACGGCTGTTCTGGACGCTGGTTTCTGCTCTTTCCTCCATGTTTGAGGTCAGCTGATCGTTAACATCCCCAACAGAAGCCGCGAGGTGTTGGATCTGCTTTTGTCATTTGAGCTGCAAGTTATGAAGAAATAATTTCGGTCATTTCAATAATCCAGCAGAAACACAAGTCGACATTTGTTGGATTTATGAGCAGGTTTTCACACGGTGGACTCCCAGATTACCGAGAAATGAAACGCTCTCATGATGATTTTACTGTCAGCACAGAGGCGTTTATTATTTATTGACCTGCAGGATTTTATTATCCCGCTGTGTGAATACTTCAGGCTCAGCCAGTTTGGGAGCTTTGCAGTTTTTTTAATGCAGAAATAATTGAAAACATTAAAAAAAGAACCTTTCTGGGCGACTCTTAGTGGATATAAATCTGCCCGACGCCCTCTGGTCTTTTGGCATGACGGAGTGTGAACTGTAAAACAGGACAGTAAACATGTCATGGAGGGAAATACTTGTTCTTAATGCTGCACCAAAGTATGAGAAACAATCACACTGAACATTAAAAAACATGAGGAGGCCTCAGCGGGCCCAGAGTTAGTGTGGGAGGTGGTTAATAGGGTCAGATTGGTCAAACTACTGAGGGGTGTCGAAACAAACTTAACTATGAAGACCTTTCAATAAACACCTGACTCGTGGATGTAAAATCAAATTTAAGGCACTCCTTTTAACCCAGCTGCCGTCAAATGGCTGCCTCCACCTGGCATAAAAGAAACCAAAGTTATTGTGGCTATGCAGACGATCTTGCCATCATGCTGAGGCATCCAATGTGGAAGGCGATGGAAGATGGCCTTAATGAAGATATGGGCGCACTGGTAGCATACCTTAGAAGGCGGCATCTACAGCTCAGCATCTAAAAGATAGTCGCAGCAGCATACCATATAGGCACCGGAGAAGGCAAGGAGGGAGCTTGATGTGTGTGCTGACAACAAACGCCAAAGGTCCAGCAAGCTCCAAAGTACCTTGGTGTGCGTCTGGATCGGACACTGACCTTCAGACAACATCAAGAGGAAGTCATGGCCAAGGTGACATCTAGGGTTTCTCTGATTTGACGCCTTGCTGGAACAACTTGGGGAGTGTCTGCTAAGACTCTGCGAATATCAACCCAAGCCCTGGTATTCTCTGCAGCGGAATACTGCGCCCCTGTCTGGTGTGGAAGTCCGCATGCAAGCAAGGTTGACGTGGCTATCAACAGCGCACTCCGAATTATAACTAGATGCCTGAAGCCTACACCAGTGTCCTTCTTGCCAGTCCTCACGGAAATAGCCCCAGCCGGCCTCCAACGGGAGGCTGCCACCCTTGCCCTGGCCAAAGGCATGATTTGCATATCCGACACAACACCACAACAACAGCAGTGCCTCCAAGCAGACTCAAATCCCGCCACCCCTACAACAAGGCAGCACAAGAGCTACTCAATTCCACCTCTGAGGACATCTCCAGAGATGCTTGGCTGGCAGCAGCTTGGAAGTGGCGGTCAGCTGGGCCTTCTCGCATCCATTGTTACATTCAGGACCCAGGAGGTGGCGCCATCGGAAGAGACGACCTACCACGCCGACAATGGACAACACTGAACCACCTTAGAACTGGGGTTGGTTGCTTTAAAATATCAATGAGGAAGTGGGGCCTGGTGGACAGTGCAGCATGTGAGTGCGGTGACTCTGAGCAGACTGCTGACCATATAATCAGCACCTGCCCCTTATACAGACCACCTTCAGAAGCCAGCCTCTTTGACCTAGAACCAGAAATGTTGTCATGGCTACATGACACTGAGTTGGACCTCTGACGTCACATGAAAGAAGAAATGATCAATTAATATCAATAAATAAACCTGAACCCTGTACAAATAGATCAATGAGTAACACAGACTGAGCTGTAAACGTCTGTATTTCTGCTGTAAAGTAGGACCTTTTAACATGGGGCTCTATGGGGACTGACTCACTGCAGGACATGGCCTCTAGTGGACACTCCAGGAACTGCAGCTTTGGGGGTTTTCAAAGCTGGCTCTAGTTTTGCAGACTGCAGCCCGTGCGTGACCTGAAGCTCTTCAGCAGCTGCTGGTTCAGGTCCAGCTGTGCTCACACGGTTCAGGTCTTTTCTATGGACCCACACAGTAGCCAGTGTTTGGTCCCCGGGGGGCCCTGGTCTTAGTGAGGCCCTCCTGTTCCCTCCTGGGTGCCCGGAGTCGGCCAGCTGGAGGCCCACACAGACCAGACTGTGAGCTCCCAGCAGCCCCCACTGCTCTCCAAACCTCAGCACGGCCACAAATGGCCGCGGCGGCTGCCAACACACACAGAGCAGAAAGCTGTGAGTCTGCCTCCCGCTCGGCCTCTGCTCGCTGTAAACACAGAGAGCGGGGGCCGCACGCCGTTTGACGAAGGCGGGATTCCACACGCTGCTAAATAAAACTCCACTTTGTGTTTGTGATGTCAGCGGGTTGTCTGTGGAGTGGCCGCAGTGTCAGACCGTGGGCTTGGACGCTCCCATTGGCTACTGGATGGTGTGGGCGGGCTGGTGGAGGCCGCTGTGTCATCACTGCGGGACGAGGCCCAGTGCAGTATGGGAACTTTGCATGTGGAGCAGATTCTTTACATCACAGCGGTTGTTTCTTCTTCTGCAGCTTAATTTAGACATTCAATCAGACTTGTTGAGTCTTGATCACATGGCCCACATCATTCCACGCCATCCCTGACGTTCCACCAGTTCTGATGATGACAGTGAGTGAGTGGGGTCTTCATAGTGGATCTATAGTTGTGGGCGTTTTGTTGTGGAGAGAATGGCGGTCTAAACCCAGAGAGTTTCTCTTGTTTTGGTACTAAAGTAGAAAAGAATACAGTCCTGGCTCACGTCAGAGGCCGCAGAGCGAGCCGGGGCTTACCATCACGACCAGAGCGTCTGCCAACGGCTCTGTGGTCGCTCTACAAACTCCCAGTCTGATCCCAGACCAGACTCACATCAACATTCAGACCTGAGGGACCTGCTGCCCAGAGAGCTAATGTATCTCCACGCTTCATTCAGACTCTTGAACTTTATTTCGAATAACTGTGGAGACACAGAAGTGTTCACGTCTGTTTGATGTGTCTGCAGGAAAACTTGTCCGGTCTTTAGGGATTTATACCCAGATTATGAAGGAGCATCTCAGGATTTTTGAAACTCTGAAAAATGTGCAAAAGCGACAGAGTTGTCTGTTTTATTTCCATCGCAGAGCAGGAGATAAATCTGATCAAATCCACTCTGGATTAAGCCGGCACAATTGTTGATGATTGTATGAAGATGACACAAAAATATTCTCCAAAAATATCGGAACGCAGAAAAGAACCATGCCAGTTTTCCTCAGATATATTTGTTCTTATAAGTCTTTAAATATACCCTGAGATTTTTGGTTAGATTTTTGGATGTGGCTCCTAACCACATGCAAGGCTGCTAGCATGTTTTTGATAAATTTGCAAATAGGCAAGTTCTCTATGCACGAAAAAGAGAAAAACTGTTTTCATTTCAGGCTGTAAACATGTTTATTTCTGCTGTAAAGTTGAACATTTTAATATGGGCTTCTATGGGGACTGACTCACTCTCGGACACAGCCTCTAGTGGACATTGGAGGAACTGCAATTTTTGGGGCCTTCTTCGTTTGTGTTGCACTTATTTTGACTGACTTCTAAATTATCTCATGAGACATTAAAAAATGAAATTGCTCAAATTGATCCCAGACAAACCTTGATCATTCAGTGTTAAAGGGACAATTCTCTATTTTCAAATGCGGTTGTATAAGGCACTTTTACAGCGTTGAGGACAAGGCGTGACAAAGTCATGTTGCTGTTGTTCAAGGAAAGGATGAAGCCGTGTGAACTGTCTCTGAATGGTTATTTCGATCTAGCAGGGTTAGTCTTTATGATCCCTCAGGGAGTGTTTATTAGTTGTCGTTAAATTCTCATCGTTAAAGTTGAGGGGAAAAACGTAATATAGTCAAATATTTATTCATTTCACCATTGATTGAAGCTGAAATATCATCAGACTGTTTTCATGTTGCAGACATGATTCACAGTCGTATTTTTTGATCGGTTTCTTTGTTCTTTCTTTCCTCTCTTCTCTCTGACCGACCGCAGTCACTGATATTTTTATTTACAGCTTTAAATCACAACAAAACTTTTCTCAAAACACTCGAGCGATGAGCGAATACTTGGCGACACTTGCGAACCAGACTCTTTTTCTAAATAAATCTGAAGTTTCACAACATGCAGCGGTGTTTCTTTTCCAGCAGAACCGGAATAGAGGATATTGCAGCTCATTGCAAAAATCATCATCTCTTTCTCTAAGCAGGAACATCAATCAAAAATAAATACTTGACAGAGGAATCAGGGTAAAAACTGACATGATGGGAGCTCCTGACCAGTTTTGGAATCAGAAAGCATCAGAAAACTTCAATTATTGTGTATTCAGCAACTTATTAACGTCTGTTTTCCAAAGATAGGACAGATGTTGAAACATTTTACTCTCTAAAATCCAAAGACCTTTCAGCCACAATAAAACTACCTCTGATCATCCTGCAAATTTAATCTATTTGCAGCTTTTTTACATTAGAAAACTCATAACCCTGCTCCCACTAATATCTGGTTTGGGTTAAGTTCTGCAACTTATCCCACCTGGTCAAGATTTAGAAAGATCTGCTTCCACTTTATGAAGAGAATCTGGGACAGTTGAGTTACTTTGCTGCCTCACATGATCATATTAAGTGAAAGGGCATTCAAAAATAGCAAAAAGTTCATTTTACAACCTATTTTCCTCACTGTTGAATATGTTTTTGAGTATTCATGTAAAGCCCCCAAAGCAGAAAAGAGCGTGGCTTTATTTTTAGCACCAACAGAGGAGTCACATATGAAGTTCATTAGCTGTAGATCTGGTTGTAAAAGACAAACTGTGCTCGATGCCCTGTTAAAAGTAGACTCCACGTCTCGCACTGATTCAGCAGTCAGGACTCTAATCCTGCAAGTTTTACTTTGGATTCCTCTCATAGGAGTTTGTCAAACTGCCTGCGAAGGTTTCAGCAGCATCTGGACCCCCCAGACACCGACCTAGGAGGGGCTGCTGGGAAATCTGCCAGCTGGAGGCTACGGCGGCTTCTCAGGAGGTCTGAGAGACGACGACTCGAAGCCAGAGGACTCAGAAGAGACCAAACGCAAAGTCCAAGGCTCAGCAGACTAGAAACACGATGTTCTGACCTGTTCTGTCCTGAACTGACCTGAAGTTTGGTCTTAACAGTCTGAAAGTAGCAAAGTGTTTGAGGTGAGAGCAGTTCATATAACAGCTTAACCTCACGCTCACCTGACGGAAAACTCTCTACACCTCAACCTCTGAGTGGACGTAGAGTTCAAAATAGTTTGACATGAACTTTTTTGATTGATATCGTAGTATTTTAATCCAATTTAGGACAACAAGAATATATATTATTTGCAAAAACAGGAAACATAATGCATCATTCGTTTGGCTGTGGCATACATCATATTTAAGTAACAGGTAAATGAAAAAACAAAAAAGGATCAAGAATCGTGCCTTGAGGTACACCATAAGTGTCCTTTAAATTGTATTACTGGGTTTTTTGAGAGAAGAGTGCAGTAAATGATCAGACAGCCTGTGGTATGATATGCAAGGATGGAGCAACAAATCCAGGTCACTCACTTGAGGCAAGAGCTCTGCATATCAGGCACACATTTAGACCACGAGGCCAGCAGCCCAGAGAGTTGTTAAAGAAGTTTTTAAAAAATTGGAAAAAACTTGGGACTTAACCATTAAATCCCCAACTTTCTGCCCCTCAGTGCTCCCACCTCTTTAAAAAGAAAAAAAAAAAAAAGCTAAGCCCCTTTTTAAAACAACCTCAAAACAGTGATTCACCTCGTGCATCCTCCGAGAACACTAGTGCTCCCTCCAAGTGCAGGATCTAAAAGCTGGAGACTTGGTGTGCAAGAAATACTTGCACAACTTCAGGACAAAGATAAAAAAAAAAAGATGTTTTCTGGTACCATAGCCCAAGAATTTATTGACAAAACAAGAGGACCTAGAATCGAGCCTTGAGGAACCCCATGACTACAATTTGGCAATATGCAAGTACTGAAACAAAACGTAAGTTTACACAGTTGGTTCAAAAAAGCGAATAACGTAGGAAATGGAGGATGAAAAATAAAGGACAAGAAATTATGATTCAATTCGTACTCGTCATTAAAAATTCAGGTTTGCTTTAAAATGAGGGAAAATATTTAAGCTGAGAGTGCCAACTGTTGAACAATTGACTTATACAGACAGGCATGATAATTGGGTAGTTTTTAGTGGAGTGGTTGTATTGTCTAATGTGTCTTATAGACTTACTGATGTTAGTCCAGAGAGAAATAACTTTTCTGGACTCACATAATGGAACTTTTTTGACGTGTGATCCACCCTTTGTGTATTTTTTGACATCTAAAGCTGTTCGTGAAATGTGCTCGACAGATTTGGGTGGACCCTCAGTTTGTATGTTATGAAAGAGGACACCTCTTATGAGTGTGTGAGTATTTTCATCTGTGTGTGTGTGTACGCGCGCTTTGAA